TAGTCTGGTATATCTAAGATGGTCATAACGTGACGACAATGAGTAATTGAACTGCAGTCAGAGAGTGTGTAATTGAACTGAGTATTATTGAATTTGAGCACGTTAGATGTTCGTTGTTATAGCGTTTGTTATAGCGCGACTGTTGAAATTAAGTGTATCGCAAAGTTATATTCAGAAAGAATAAACCAGTTTTATTTAAGAAAGGACTTGTGTCGCTAAAGTATCGTCGGAACGAATTTACGGAAAATTAACTAACGAACAGAGACGTAACACTATCAGTTCCCTTTACAATCTTAAACACCTCAATCAGATCCTCCCTAACTCTTCTTTTTTCAATAGAAAACAGTTTGAGAGATTTCAACCTCTCCTCGTATGACAACCACTCCATCCCAGACACCATTCTAGTAACCCTTCTCTGAACCCTTTCCAACAATTCAATGACCTTCCTAAGTTAAGGAGCCCAAGACTGAACACAATATTTCAAATGTGGCCAAACCAGTGACCTGTACAATGAAATTATAACCTCTTTAGACTTATATTCAATATTTCTGTAGATACAACCTAAAATTCTCATTGCCCTACCACTAGTACACTGTACACTAGTACAGTACACTGCTCGGATGGCTTTAGAGACTGATCGACTATTACACCAAGATCCCCTTCCTTCATAACACTGTTAAGGTTATTCCCATCCAAATTAACTTATAATTCAAATTATGATAACCCATATGCATTATCTTCCATTTATTATAATTAAAACCTATCTGCCATTTATTTGCTCAACTCACTAAATGATCTAAATCCTTTTGTAAATCAGCAGCATCCTCTTCATAGCTAGCAACATCCAAGACCTTAATATCATCTGCAAATTTTTACAAGCCTTTTATGTGGCACCTTACTCTTACCCTCATCTACATAAGCAATAACCTTTTCAAAGAATGTTAAAAGATTTGTAAGGCAAGATTACCCCTTAGTGAAACCATGTTGACTCTCCAATAAAATTCTAAACATTGTTAAATGACTTTGCAAAGCATCTTTTAACAACTTTCCAAATTTTTCCCACAACTGATGTAAAACTAATGGGTCTATAGTTACTGGGACAATTTTTATCACCTCCCTTGAAAAGAGGAGTTACATTTGCTAACTTCCAATCCTCTGGTACCGGCCTACGATTCCAGGACTGACAAAAAATAGTAGCAAGTGGCTCAAATATCCAATCTTTAACCTCCTTCAAAACCCTTGGGGAAATCTCATCTAACTCAGGAGCTTTATCATATTGTTACGTCTCTGTTCGTTAGTTAATTTTCCATATAATTTCTTTCCGAAGAAACTTTAGTGATACAAGTCCTTTCTTAAATAAAACTGGTTTATTCTTTCTAAATACAACTTTGCAATACACTTAATTTCCACAGTCACGCTATAACAAACGCTATAATTCACAACAAACGTCTCACGTGCTCGACTCAACAATACGTCTCTCTCTGTCCACAGTTCAATTACATTGTTGCCGTCAGTTCTTGGCGGCTTATATATACAAGACTACCGCATATCTAGTAGCCTCTCAAGACTTCAGGAAGGGACAGGATCCTTCTAGAAGTTCATGACGTGTTACTAGCATCACGTGACCTCTGCTGTCGTAACAATATTTTAAACTTCCCAATTTTTCTTAAACAGCTCAGAATTAATGCAGTCATCTTGTTCGATTTCGTTTCCATTTATCAACTGATCAAGATGTGGAATACTGCTTAAATCTTCATTAGTAAAGACCGAAGGAAAAGAAAAATTTAATAACCCAGCCATCTCATAATCATAAGATACTAGCCTTCCTTTATCATCCCTCAAGG